TGCACTGAGAAGAACACTTCGACAGTAATATGTCTCAACCTTAAAGAGAAACTATCACTTATTAATAAGTGATGAAAATTAGAGTGGGGGGCGGGATTTGGCTCAGGTTCCTAAAACACTGACACCTAATTGCAGTTAAGGTTATTGTTTATCACCATCCATTTTGAAAAAAAGGTAAACATAAAAGACCCTTTTTAAATAAGTTTGATCAATCATCTGTGCTGAATATTTCAAAAATGTGAGCATCCGTATGTAAACCTTACTAAACATGCCCAATTCTCTGCTCTGTATGGTGTGTTTTTAATCAGGAGTAACAGTTTCCACGATTGTGTGAAGTGCATAAACCACTTTATGAACTCTGATGACTGCGTTTCTCAGTATGGTAGATGGAACATGATGAAAACTATCAGCTATATTCCATATGTTCGATAAAACTGACATTTAAGATACTTACATATTTTTAACGTATATAAAATTGTATTCCCTCTCATCTAATGGTTATTTTACAGGAACACATTCCTGCTACCTTCAGGTCCTCGATATTCATTTGCAGCTATGTATTTGCATCGTCAGAGATGTTTTTAGTTGCAACCTCATGCTAGTCAACAGTATTTGGGGCTCAATGCAAAAAAAAAATAAATCCAACAGAAGAATTCAGTGTACGTCTACACAAACCCAAATATTTATATTCTAAACAGTAAGAGTTAACAGTCAATCAGTTACAAATAATAATTTGTCTGTGTAACCAATATTTAACACTATTTTGTAAGAGGGCACCAATCTGGTTATTTCTACAAATTCTTAAAATTTTTTAAAAACTTCCAAAAGGTCAGTTGTTATAACGTGGCCAGGAAGACACGAGCAGTGGCTGCGTTCTCACACTTCACACTCCAAAAGGACTCCCCTAGGTATCTTTCTGAAGGAAAGTATCAAGACGATTCAAGTTGAAGATACAAGTTTAATGTTTCCCTGAACAAACAGCAAGCCAATGACTATTAAGAGAGTTCCTATAAGCAAACCACCTTGTATGTGAAATGCCCTAACTCTATGCATATGCAATGAATGAGATGTGCATGGCAGGAATTAGAAAAGAAATAATTGCATCACCATTTCTCATGACATCACAAGCTACAGACTGACATCTACGAGGGTTATGATGCCACCAGCACCTTGCAGCACCATTTCCCTTCCACTAATCCGATTACCTGCCTGACAACAGGAAAAGATTTTTCTTGTACATTGTTATTTCATGATGATTTCCCATCTTTAGAAGAATTTCTGCACAATTGTTTCCTGAAGTAGACGGCTCCAGGCTAAAGATTCTTGCCCCATCGTAGGACAATACTAATCCCATTGCCAAATGAGAAGAAAAGAAAGTTATAAAGTTCAGACAACCCATTCGTGTCTGCCTGAACTTGGTCAGAACCAAGAACGGGAGATGGGGTGTGAACATTACAACTCCCCGAGAACGCCACGGTTCTTTTCCTAAGGGAATTTTTTTCAGCTTTTGATGATTAGCATTTTATGAAAGGACATGTGAGAATGAAACGCCTTTTTTTTTTTTTTTAGGGAAAAAAAAAAAAGGGTGAAAAATCTTGTCTTCAATTAAATGCAATTTCAATAGGAAAAAAATAACAACCATCCATTCAGCCTGACAGTTCTTCAATACGAGAGAATTTGAGCTTGCAGAATATAATTGACCAGCATGGAATTTTGCCAGAACACCAAGATAAACATAATTACTCATATTAAGAGTGTTAATTAATGGTTTGTGAACACAAATAATTGGCTGCTTGGTTTTATAGCTCATTAGAAAGCCAACAATTCCATTAGACAGTGCTGCCCAGTAGCCATACTAGGACCACTGAGCTGTAATCACCAGAACCCTGAAACTAAGCCAGTGAAAATCAGTGAGAGAGGTCGACATCTGAAATTAAGCTCGGAGAAAAAAAAATAGCTGATCCTAGTAAATAAATATTAATACTTTTGGGATAAAGGAGGGGATTCTTTCTGTTGGGGTTTTGATTTTTTGATTTTTTTTTTTTTTTTTTGGTTGGGTGATCGTTTATGCAAGTTTTTCTACTAAAGATCTCTTTTAAAAACCCAAAGAGCTGCCAGATGGAGTTAACCAGTATTAGTTACGAGTCAGTGAGTTTGCTATACACCGCCTATGACACACGCTGCAACCCCAAGTGTCAATAGTGAACACCGGCGGCTTCCTTGGCAGAGCCTCGCACGAGCGCTGCGAGGGCCGGATCACAAGAGCCTGATCCGCATCTGCTGGGGGTTATTGATTAACACCCAGCGCGGGCAGCGCCGCGTTCTTGGCAGGCAATAACTGCAGCCTTACAAACCGCTGACGGGCTAAACAAGCTATTAATGACAGGGTGCTCTTCATCATTTAAAACGGACAGACTCTGCTGCTTGACCACAAGGACAAGCAGGTTATTGCTCTGAAATGTTATACAAAAGACACAAATAAGGTGTCTCTAATGAATAAACCACACTTATGGCTCCATGGTTCTTTCTCAGCAGAGCTATTAATAGAAAACAGGACTCGTTCAGAGTTGCAGAATTATAATCATCTTCTCCAAGGCTTCAAGAGTTTGTTAAAATTTGTTACTCAGAAAGGAATTAGCTGAGTATAACTCAGCAAATCCCCACCAAAATTTTTGGAATACAAGACTAATTCCCCCTATGCTTAGAACTTTGCAGTTTCTTTTCTTAACCAGCTAAACCAACAAAATGCTGTTTTCTGACCAACTCAGAAACAGGCCCATGGACCTGCTGGGCAGTTCCCCCACCTACAAAGAAATTCCTTTTGTTTAGAAAAGCATCTGGTTTTAAACTGGAAGTTCTGCCCTGCAACAATTTATAAAATATTGACCGATTTTTTTTTTTTAACAGCAGTTGTTATGCTACTTTATTTCGCTCCTCTGTGTAGCTGGATGCTAGACACTAGGATGGCAGAAACTACTTAAAGAGGGGTAAGCAGTAAAACACAGGAACGTACAGACCCCATAAGGACAATATCACAAATTGTAAACCACCCTTTTTTACAAGGGTGATTAAATAAAAGATTACCAAATCAATATAAAGACAACTCTTTTTTCTTAAGAGGGAAAAACTTCCTTACAAGTATTTGGAGACGCAGCAATTTAAAGTAGTAGAACCAGAGCGATCGTGTGGCTTAATTCTTCGGATGAATATCCCTATAATTTATTGGAATCCAAAAGGTCTTTGTGAACTTGTTTGACATAACACTGGGATATAAAACAGTTTCCAGCGCGAACACTCCCATTTGTGGGAGCCTTGGGAAACAGTTCATTTCCTCGTGCACCCACTCCCAGGACAGATTTTCTAAGATCACAGAGAATAGGAAAAAAAAGTTTCAAAACTGGAGGTTTTTGACAGTGAAATACAAAGCAGCTAACGTATTTAATGGAGACAAAATTTTATTCAAATATATAGTGAGTTACCCTGTAAAGAAGTTAAGGTATCATTACTCTGCAGAGCACCTTCCCAGCACATTTTCCCCCGAATCCCAGGAAAGCCCTGCACACCAGTGAAGGCTATTCCCAGTCCAGCCCCTCATCCCCATCCCCTCAGAACCCACGGAGCCTCTTCCTGCTGCCCGCCTGAGGTGACGTGATAAATCAGATCTGCAGCTCCAGCTACTGCAGCACTCCCAATTTAGAAAAAGTACCAGTCATGGTCATCTGTCAAGACTACAGCATCTTTATAATGCATTAGAAAAATTCTCTGAACCCATCAGATTACAACTACCTGACACCAGCAGAAGAATGAAACATTTTAAAAATTTATTTAAGAGATTCAGCTAGCATGCAAGATACCAATGAAACTAGCAAACAAGATTAATTTTCAAACTGCTCTAAAAACTATTCATAACACTCAGCTATTTATTCCATTTACAGATTCAAAATACTAGTTGCAATGGAACATTTAATATGCCACCATTATAAAGGGGAAACTGTTGACAACTATGCCAGAATATACATCCTTTTCATCCTGCTGTTACTCCAAGGAGATATTGGTACACAAGCTCCTACAAATCATATTTCCCAAGTGATTCCCAAAATGGGAAGCAACAACAGAAAAGCAATTTTTTCAAATGCTTGTGCAATACATTGTGATAAGATTTTATTTTAATAGCAGTACAGAACAGTGCAAGTTATTTAGATACTCTAAGAAAAAATTAAACATGAGTTTAACACTTCTCATGATGTCCTGAGATATACGTGCCATTAATAGTGAATATTTTGATTTAATGGGATTTAATAATCTGTTTAGATGAACTACTTAATGTTCTGATGATTGCTGACACTAACATCCTAGGCTCAATGAGCTTCAGACTTGTGACAATATTGTATTTTTTCCAGTTTTGATCAACTGATTAGTTTTTAATGCTAAGTATGTCTTGCCATCACTTGCGGTTTGAATATGTTTACTTAAACCAAAAATATTTTGCATCTCAATTATTATTTTATACTGCAGCCCTGAATGGAATTTAAGTCAATACATTATTCATAAAGCAAAGACAAGAGAAAAAACAAAGCTGTGCACTTCTTTCAAAGACTTCAAATTACTAAAACATACCATATTTATGCATGCAATATTTGATTGTGTGTGTGTCTTCTTTTTTTTTTTTTAATCACAAGTTTGTTGTTTTCAGATCAGGATATGCCAAAAATCCAACACCAAACAATTTTTGTTTATAATTAAGGCAATCATCAATCCAAGGATTGTAGTCCATTTTATTTCATCTCTACATCAAAAAAAGTAATTTAAAAAAATTAAAATTCCCTTGAAATGGTGAGATAAATGAAAATGTAAGTGCCTTCACATAATAACAGTAAGCTGACCCTCTGGGAAATGGCTGACTTTCTCAATTCAAGGTATTCAAAGCTCATTCAAAAGTGTTCATTTGGAATGCAGATATCAAAGATGATGCAAATGTTCAAGAGAAAATTAAAACTTACCAGATGTTCTAATCCAGCTTTGATGTTTCCAGAGTCCCTGTAACAGAAGAACAAAAGTTCTAAATAGTTGCTAAACCCTTGTCTACAACGATTTATGTTTAACTCGGAAATGTCAGCGCCATGTAATTTCTCAAGTATGTAAAATTTTTACTTTTAATATCTTAATCATTGCAATACCTAAAAAGTATCGATTATCCTAATGCTCAACTACAGAATTATTTAAAACCCCAGATCTCACCTGCCCTGAAATTGTTACTAACTGTAGCAATGCAACAGGACACTAATTTAAAAAACAGCATTTTTAATACAATTATCCCACTAGTCACACTGGAAATAATAAAACAAGACTGTGAGTAATGCTATTTATCAAATCCTCATTCAGTGGCTCATGGTTCTGCTTTGCCACAACTTCGATAATAAAATTCTGTGACCATTTACAAAGGTGATGGACCGAATCAATCGTATACTAACTAACAAGGTTGTGGCAGCCATCTCGAAACTTTGCATTTGAGTCCTAACAGCTGAAAAAAATTACAAATGTACAGTTACAAAAATGAAAAGCAATGTCGCATAAGGCCAGCTGCAAAAAAAAAAAAAAAAAAGTGGACCAAACTATCAAAGTAAAAACACGGAAAAGCAAGCGGAATTCAGAGTGAAAATGAATCCTTAACACATCCTGCTATGCAAAAAAAAAGACAACCTGAAAGAAAACCGAAGGAAAATGAATTAAGAAGTCCCCAAATCCCAAGCCACTAAACAAGGCGGCTGGTTTCTGCTTCCATTGGCTCCAGGTTCTGCCTGCTCCCAAAACCGTAACGGTGCCTTCGGGGGCAGACGGGCTGTAACCACGGCAAACAAGGAGAAACTGCCCCACGAGGATTTCAGGTAATCGGTTCTTGGACAATATAGGGTAGTATGTATTTATACTATCAATTTTTCAACAAATTATTCAACTATATCAAACCACAGGAGCAAAAACCCCAACCCCATTCCTCTAAGACAGCAAAGCGTGTGAGACCGAGGCTTCCGTTCTCTTTAATGCTTAGTACAGGCTGTGTTAAGGCAGAATGTGAAGTATGGAACATTACTAAATACTGAGTAAGGCGACATTCAATTACCCATTTTACCACCTTGCTGTACTGTATTTTAGAATTTTTACAGAAAGATTTTATTTATAATTTCATAAAGCTTTCCAAAAAGTCTGCATCGTGCTTTGGTTCTATTCGAATATATCATGAATGAAGCAAAAGAAAAAGATGCACTTTCCTTACACCATTATTTTCTACTTTGCAACAAGAATTTAATATTCACGGCCATACAATATTTAAATAGAAATCATCCCCCACGTCTACTTTTGAGGTGCTAAATGGCCTTAAAGAATGTAATTACTTTGGAAGCAGGATCCAAGCAGCTGATGCAAGGAGCTCCCAACTAATGGTTTAAAACCTGCCCTGTTAGTGGTCTGTCTCCTGCACCATCCCTGTCATGACTTCATCAATATTTGTGCAACTCCTTTTGCCCTGTGCTGAAAGCAGCCTTAATTCAATTATAGGTCTCAAAACTGATAAAAAAGGTCCTGAAGTGGAAAATGCGAAGAGATTATTGGCAAATGAATAAAGATTTGTATCGAACTAACACACAAGAGTACAGCAGGGTTGGGTTTTTTTTTTTAATCATTCCCTGTCTTAAGTCTTCTGGGAACAGTGAGTTTCCCTTCCCCTCATGCAGCACATCGATTTCTGAATTAGACTGCAATATTAAATAATTAATATACTTGCCATGATTGATGTTTTGCATTAGTTGAATATTAGGTTATCAATCAAAATCCACTTGGTTTAATGTAATAATATTGAAAAAGTGTCACTGGCTGTTCATCCAATTTGTAGTTGAGGCAGCACAGATAGTAATATTGGTGTAACACAAGGCTCTAACGCAGGAAATGCAGTGGTTGAACACACATAAGGCAAACATTATCAAACTAACCAGGACAAGGTTGAGGTTGTCCTAAATAAACCTTGTGGCACCTGCCACTTCCAATGAAAGCCTCTTTCCAGCCGGAGGCTGCCGTGCATCCATCAGCGATGACACCCAGGGAAGCCATGGCACAGTTTTATCTTGCTAGTTAAACAATAATTATACAAATAAGACTCCCACTAATACGGTATTTCAACTGTTAGGTTATGCAAAATCAGACCTGTTGCTACAGCTCAGCCTAACACATAACCTTAGATGTCTACAGAATACCTTAATCATTAATACCATAAAACACTACAAATAAAAGGCAAGAACAGTTTTAGGCACATCCGGTATTATAATGCTCCCAAACAGGAACACCGTAAGAAAGTTATATTAATTGCACATCATTATCAGGTAATAATGTGTTACTCAGTTTTCACACCACACCACATAGCTCCCAACAAGACACGTATCTGCCTTGCAAACTGCCTCCAGCGCACCACTTTTATTTTCTTGGTTCATTATGCGAGTTTGGTTGTATTCTTGAGCTTTTCTTTTTGGCATCAGAGAGGCTCTGGAATTGTGCTTCCCCGCTACATTCAAGACTTTGTGCTGTAAAATACTAGTTGAAGTGCATATATTTCTAAATCATACATTAAAACCAGTAAGCATAATACTCAAGCTAATCCAAATGTCAGCTTTTGGTAATGCCAGGGGGAAAAAAATGCAGCTGAGGTAAATTTGAATCACGGTCCTGAGGAACCTGTACCAACAAGCCAGGAATTCATTTAAGCAAGTGTTGCCAGCTTTTGGATTGCTTAAAACCATAGTATACGTAACTAATTGAGGTAGTGTTAACTTAGTAGTGTTAGCTCTTTTGCCAGTAAATTAAACTAAAATTATTCACTAGCACTTGCTGGAAATCTTGATTTTAACCTGGACGTATATTCATGTTCAGAAAAATAGGTTCCCATATAAAACTAACCATTAATCAAGGGAGCTGAATAATGCACAGTATCTTTAAAACATTCAAACTTTAGCTATTATAAAATAACTTAAGATTTCACGAATAATTTAATTTTTAATAAATTTATAGCAATTTCACACAGGAATTGTAGAACTAACACTTGTGTTTGCACAACAGAGCTAACCAAATTACTGGGTACTTTTAGACACAGCGCTCTGGAGCAAAGCACCCTCAAGAAGCTACAGCATTAACATCATACTGCAATGCCAGTCACTTATTTTATCACTGTGAGGCTACCTAAAACCAAAAAAACCTCACACATATTTTTACTTATTACGAAAACAGGCAATAAAGCTTGTTAGTAGGTCTCTCTTACAGTCTTTAAAATGACAAACAATTATGACAGCCAAGTTTAATCTGTGCTGTTACTCAGATCAGTAGCGATGAACTGGAAGTATCCTGAAATTTTAAAAAATTTATTCAAAACAAAACCAAACTGCTTCAATCCGCATTCGTTGGTTCCTCTCAAGTCGCTATCAACTCACTCTTAACACTTCTCTTATAGTCATAATTAATAACTTTCTTTGCCATGATTTTTTGGTTGGAGCCCATAGGCCATGGAATAATTCTATGGATTATCTATACCTGTGGATACTCTCGGATAATTCAGGTTGAAGGGTCTCTGGAGGGCTGCGGTCCTCCTGCCTGCTCAAGGCAGGCTCAGCTCTGAGGCCACACCAGGCTGCTCAGAGTTTATCCAGGCTGGTCTTGAAAGTCCAGTCTCCTTGGGCACCCCGTCCTGGTGTCTACATGGCCTCCCTGGGAGCATCTTTCCTTCTATCTCGTCCAAACGTCGCGTCTTCGCGGTCTGTGCTGGGCGCGTCTTTCCTCCCACCGCACACCAGTTCAAAGAGCATGGCTCCTTCTCCTCGTCAGGCTGGGTGGCTGCCGGGTGCCCTCAAAGCCATCTCTTCCCCAGGCTGAACCACCCCCAGCCCCTCAGGTCCCCTCACAGAGCAAGTGCTCCAGCCCCTGACCATCCTGGTGGCCTGAACTCCACACCAAACAGTCCCCATGTCTCTTTTTTTCCTCAGAAGCTAAATGAATAAATAATTCATCACATCACTAGCAAGGCCTTTGGCAGAATCCTCTCCAGTTCCACAACATCAACTACAAGCTGCAAAGGAAAGGGTCATACACAGCATTTTGGGTCAGGCCGTACCACACTCTCAAATAAAGGCCTTTAACTCCACGAATGCCAACGTGTTGATCGGGCAGCATTATCCCAAGTGGTTACAGATAATTTTCATAGAGCTCTCTCACTCTTAAAATTTTCTTGGATCATTCAACAAGCACATCATATAATACTTTCAATAATCTGTCAAGTATCTTTTTAAATTAATTCCTTTTTTGTCCCAGTATTCTATTTAGATGAAGAACCTCATAGTGAAAGATGTTCTTGGAACAACTTCTTGTTTTCCTGTTCTTTAACCTCACGTTAACATGCTTCTACTGCTTCCTGTCGTCTAACAGCCTTCCCTACAGGTCTTCCTCTGAGTAGCACACATACCTGCTATTCTTTTGCATGTTTCTGAGCCCTGCTTGTATTCTAGATAAACAACCTCAAAATAAACAGCTGAATCTCTTCAGAAGTCTTCAGGAGCTTCTTTATGATCTTCAGCAGCTGACAATATATTAAACACTCACCAATACAAGCTACATGAAATGGGGCGAAGATATTACGAGAAACCCAGTTTGAGTGGTGGTCTGGTCCCTTCTCCCACCTCCCTAAGCTCAGTGTTGAAGGTAGATAAAGGGAGAGAAGATAGAAATGAAATTAGGATTAGATATGAGGAATTAAACCAAGGGATATGGTGAAGAGGACGAGTGAAGCTACTGCCGTAAACTTCATAACCACTGCCACTCCTGTCTTAAGCTTCTTTAGTGAGGAATCTACGTTGACTCAACACAGCCAAAGTGAGCAACAGTCTCACTAAATGCAACTACAGTGGAGGTGACAGCTATGGGAGAAGTAGACTGGTCAGCTAACTCTAGACCTTTCTTTTTGTGTATCATCATTATTTTAGCAGATTGGCATCGCAAATTCAATGACT